ATTTTCAGGATTTTGGTGTAAATTGCACACCTCACATGAAGACATATTTATTTTTTTCTCCCAGCTCAGTGTTCCAGCCCAGATTAACGCTTATGTTCAACCGGCCACACTGCCAACCATAGACACGCCTGAGTTATATGGAGGAGCCAGCTGCACCGTGAGCGGATGGGGAGTGACACGAATATACAGCTTCTATCTGTCACCGATTCTGCGTGCAGTCGATGTGTCGATCATGAGCTACTGCCAATACTACTACTACTACAGAGTCAACGACAACATGGTTTGTGCGGGCTCTCGCTTCGGGGGAAAAGACGCCTGCCAGGTAATCAGAGGTTTAAATGCAAATGAGAACTTCCCCAACCCTGGTGGCAGCGAATGGAATAGAGCGCAACAGGTCCCGCCCACTTTTTCAAAGTATTTTTCTTATTTAACCAAACCATCCAGCTACGAGATGAATCCCAACATTACAAACTTTAATAAAAAATTCAATTGATATAAAACTATTGATTTAAAGTTGTCAATTATGTATATAGAAACAATGTATTTTTTGTAGTGTTGGGTTCGAAGTCCAAGTCCAAAATGGGCCGAGTTGGACTCAAGTCCGAGTCCAAAAGGGTTGAGTCCGAGTCGAGTCCAACTAAACTAAGCTTGTTTTAACCTTTACAACTAGAAAAGGCAATGTCAATTTAAATGTAACAAAAGCAAACCTCTGTTGCATCTTGCCATTTAGATTTTTGATTTCACATAATCTCATAATTTGTGTTCTGCTCAGCAAATCTAAAGTAACAGAAGTTATGGCTGACTTGATTTATGTATTGTGACATATTTCAGAGTCAGCTGTAAGGACCTTTGAAATAACGGGAATCATTTGGCGAAGTGGTATGGACATGTAATGCAGTCAAGACATGCCTTGCACACGTTGAACGTTCATCAACCAATCAGTAGGCTACTACAGAAAGTTAACAGCCAATACAGACATTTAATCAGAGGTTCAATTGGGATTTGTTATGTGGCGGAGGGGGGCACTGTGGTTTCAGGCTTTTGAGGGGTGCATATGTTTATGCAAAGCCTACATCTTATATCAATTGGCAAAATGTAAAATAAGTTGAGAGAGTCCTCTGCTATGAACAAATGCTGATCAAAATCATTCTAGATGCTGCAGGATTTTAAAAATCAAATGTAAGACGTGTTTGAAGACGTGACCTTTTTTAAGACCTGCAAAAATTAGTTTAAAAATAAAAATGAAAACCGTATGAGCAGGGTAGGGCAATGTCTTATTAAACTGTAAAATGACTGTAAAAACATGATTTACAAGAAATTATTTTTAAGAAAAGGGATGAGTCAGAAGTATAAATTATATTATGGGTTGAAGTTCGCATTAGTCTGAACAAAAACTGCAGACGGGCTGATTGAAAATGCAAATTGATTATCTGCCAGCAGGAGGCGCTTTTGGAAGAAATACAGTGGTTTCCCTGGAAACAGCTGTACACAAAGCAGTGCAGCACTCATAAATGCTTCTTTATCAGATAATAATGAAGATGCCATCGAAAATTTTCCGAAGACAGTCGGTTCCCTTCAGAGATGCATTCATATAAAAACACCCGTGCTGCATCATTGCTTGAAGTAGTGTAAGAAAAGTGTTTGAAAATATAGCCAATATTGTTGGAAATGTACGAGGAAAGTCCACTGATGTGTTTGTTACCAGTGCAAGCCCCGGTCCAATTTAACCCCTGCATTTAATTAAGTAATAAATGTAAAAATAAATAAAATATCCATTCTACTAAAGTGATTCAGATAAGAGCAGGGAGTGATTTTCTCTTTTTCTTTTGTTGTTTGATTAACATTAATGACACAGCAGCAGGTTTACGCTGCTGTCGAACCGGTGTATGAAAGAGCTTCTGTGCTGCTATTGGTCAACGTCACCAATGTGACAGAACTCGTCGTGGACGATGGAAAAAAAATTAAACATGCTAGTCTTTCTGTCATGTTGTGAAGCATCGCAGACGCGGAATCGGTTGTCGTCCACTATGACACACTACACGAGCTGAAACGATGGAATCTTGCGTCCCGACGCCCATTGTCGTTTACGAATCCCCACGACAGCCTACGTCAAGCAAATCGTGGCAAAATCGGGCTAAAATCGTGTAGTCTGAACCGGGCATAAGACGATGCACAGATCAAATATTTCCAGCTGTTCAGGTTCACTTAAGACATAACCGACTGCATTTACGTGAATACTCTCCAAAACGGCCACTTTGACATAGCTTAGTGTATTTGGGTGTGTAGCAATAACACGCAAAAGAGAACTTAATTCGACATTAGCACGCTGACTGAGAGGCGCGTTCTGTGAGAGCGCTTTGAGTGTGTGCGCACCGAGCGGCAACCTTCCGGTCTCTCTCGTGAAACGTGACGTCACGGACACTACGTCCATGTTTTTATACAGTCTATGGTGCGCACATAAACCTGGCTGCTTTTAAGTACTCGCAAGACTTAAAAACACATGCGAATACTGAATGTAACTTTTGTGATAGTGCATCCGGTCAGTGACCGTCAAATGTCCCTGAGCTCGGTTGGACTCGGAAATATTTTTCGAGTCCTAAAGGCTCGAGTCCGAGTAAAAATGCATCAGAGTCCGTGACAAGTCAAAGTCCGCTAAAAGTTGTACTCGAGATTGTACTTGAGATTTTTACTTCTGGAATCCAACTGTTTGAAAAAAAATTTTTTTATTTTTTTTTACAAAGATCAGATTTTCTACTTCTAAATTTCATGATTAATTCATTGTGTTACTTGCCGTTTCTTTGTAATTGTTTGTGAAATTTACTTAATTTATTTCTATGCCATTTTTAGTGCACAAAAAGAAACTGATATTACTTAAGAAAATAATTAATAATAATAAACAATCATTATTTTGGCAGTTTTAATTGGTGCAATAAATTCTACTTCAAGTACTGATGCGTTCACATTATCGCATCCAGAATCTTATAGATGCATATTTTGGACACTAAAAAACATTAAATACTTAAATTAACTTTATTGGATCTTTTATATGATTATTTTGGCCCACCCCTGTTTAGAGACACTTTATGAAATATACAAACTATAAGTGTTGTTTAAAGTTGTTCAGAGTTTAGTTTGACCCCTCAAACACACTTGTATTTTCATGGCAGTCTGCAGTTTCCCTAATTTATGATGGCAAACAAACCCTCCCAAGGGTCCTGCCAAAGGGTTTTCTAGGAATAAGGCGTTCTGGGAATAAGGGTGCGGTCCATTGCTGACAATTCATGGAGACATTAGATATACTCTGATATGGCACAGCTTTTCAGGGCTTTATGTTCAGCCTCTTTATGTTAGTGTAAATCAAGGTGAGATAACTTAATTTAGTTACACAATAGGTCATATTTACAGCTTTGCAGGTAACGAGAGTGTCCAGATGGTTTCGGTATCAGTGTTTAAAAATGCTTTTAAGATTTCCCTTTGAAGAATGGAAAACAGAAAAAAATTTAATGTAAAAAATATTCTGTTTTTGTTCCATTTTTATAAGGATAATGTAATTTGTGATGGAGAAAAATGGATTAAATAAAAACATGTGAAATACATTAATCTTTCTTCTTTCACAGGGCGATTCAGGCGGTCCTCTCATTTGTGATGGGACTTTAGAAGGCATTGTGTCTTGGGGAATCGGCTGTGCTCTTCCGTACTATCCTGGCGTCTACACAAAAGTGAGAAACTACAGCCGCTGGATCGACTGGATTATCAGCTCTGACAGCTGAAATATAGGTTCAACTGAATGTGGGAGGGCTTTCCTTCAATCAGAATTAAGGAAAAGGTGTAATTTGGCAATAAATCCTACTTCAAGTACTGATGCTTTCACATTATTGCTTCCAGAGAATCGATAATTATAGATTAACATGCATATTTTGGACTCTAAAAGCATTAAATACTTACATTAACTTTATTGTATTTTTTATCTTATATATATATATATTCACACGAATGCTTGAAATTAGTTTTGAAGATAAATATAAACTGTGCCAATATGAATTTCTTTAGAAAACTGTATTCTATGTAGTTTTTCTAAATGTTGGACAAGATAGAAAAGTCCTTCAATATGATTTAAAAAGCATCCCAGGATGCATCTGTTTGATGGAATGACCTGGAAGAAATCTAGCTGTCAGTAAGATTGATGGAACTGTCACAGTTTAAATACATAAAGTTTACAACAAGCTCTTACTTGCCTCTTTATTATTGTCATATGAGTCTCTGAACTCTGGACTGGGTAAACAGGATGATCTTTACTCATCCGTCTGGTTACTTACAATTTGTGCATTACCTCAATTAAATATTTTCTAGTACTCATGAGAATAAATGTTTAGACCACATTTAGGTAAGTGAAAATGTTTTGTTCATTATGTTGACGGTGCTCTGTCTAATGATTGTCAGAACGCTGCAATGCACAATCCTGTTCATGGAATTTCACACCTTGTCATCTATATGAATTATTAAGTAAATGGGAATTTTGACATTGCTGCACCAAATTGACATTAAGTGTCAAAGAGTCATTGCATCACTGATTTCCTCCTTAGTCACAGACACACACACACATTAACTTGTGACTTGAAGCCATGTAGTGCCTGGCTGTCAGAACAGAGTCTCCAGTCAGCAGCATTATGAATAGCTGGAGCACAGAAGCGCTTGTTCGAATATGCTGATTTGCTGCTCAACAAACATTTCTTATTATCAATGTTGAAAACAGGTGTGTTGCTTCTTGAACGAATGGAAAGTTCAAAAGTACAGCATTTATTTGAAATAGAAATCTTTAGGCTCATAAATGCCTTGACTCACTTTTGATTAATTAAATGCATTCTGTCTGAATAAACGTATTAATGTCTTTTAAGAAAAATCTTACTAAACCCAGACTTTTGAATGGTAGTCTATGCATTTGTTTTGTAGCTATATTTTGTGTCTGTTTTTCATGGTTCTTCAGCATATGGTGATGTTTAACAGGTTGCAATGTAGAGAATGCATGCTACTCTGCTGGATTGTGTGCTGAGAGGACTGCAATCTCTAAAGCTGTGTCTGAGGGACATAAGAGCTTCAAAGCCATCGCAATTGCCAGGTAATTCACTATATAGCTATATGTATGTATTGGCTGAAGTATAAGTAAGTAGTGTTGAGCAATGTTCCTTAACTGACTTTTGTGCAGTGACCTTGAAGATCGCTTTATTTCTCCATGTGGAGCCTGTAGGCAGTTCATGAGAGAGGTCAGTTCTTCTAAAAATAAAATCACGCAAACTGATCATTTTGTATTGTTTTGTTATTACTATAATTCACAAAAACATAGAAGTTACACTGTGGCTTGCGAAAACAAGTCATCAGGGAAAACCAAAACACGAGTCAGCAAACTGCATGTTTGGAAATAGTAGGATTTTGTGAAATGTAAGTGTGGCTTAGAATTTAAAAAAATAAAATAAATAAAAAATTGCAAAAGAATGTTAGTAATACACACATAATGTTTCAGCTTCCATTGATACTGTCACTTAACAGACTGGTTATGTCATCTGTCTTACAGTTTGGCTCACAGTGGGACGTTTATATGTCAAAATCTGATGGATCTTACAAACTGATGACAGTGGAGGAGCTCCTGCCGTCTTCATTTGGCCCCGATGACCTGAGGGCAAGAGAAAACCATTAAACTTTTGACATAAAGCCATAACAGATAGATTTAAGGGGGAAGTCATGGCCTAATGGTTAGAGAGTCGGACTCGTAACCCAAAGGTTACGGGTTCGAGTCTCGTACCAGCAGGGATTGTAGGTGGGGGGAGTGAATGTACAGTGCTCTCTCCCACCTTCAATACCACGACTGAGGTGCCCTTGAGCAAGGCACCGAACCCCCAACTGCTCCCCGGGCGCCGCAGCAAAAAAAAAATGGCTGCCCACTGCTCCGGGTGTGTGTTCACGGTGTGTGTGTGTTCACTGCTGTGTGTGTGCACTTTGGATGGGTTAAATGCAGAGCACTAATTCCAAGTATGGGTCACCATACTTGGCCACATGTCACTTCACTTTCACTTTCACTAAATGTATTGAATGGATGTATGGTTATATTATTTTCCAATGAAAAAATATAAATGTGTAAACTAATAAATAGTAGGCCTATTCTGAATTGACTTGTGGTTAAATTATTGAGCTTTTATTTTACAATGTGTGCTTTTATTGCTAAATGCATGCCTTTGACTTTATTTTGAAAGCCATAAAAAGTGGGGACTATAGGTGCGTTCACGCCATATCTTAATTACCGTAATTACGAGATACCAACTTGTAAAAAGCGTTCACATCCTCGTAGAACTCGTAATTACAACTTGTGAACTGGGAGTTTTCTGAGAGCTGCGGCTTGTACCACGTGACCGCTGCACCTCGCGCGGAACCAGAGAAAAATGGCGGCGCTTTCAAAGAAAGCTATTACTGCTCTAAAAAAGGAGAAAATAGATACATATATAGATGTACTATAATATAAAAACATATTATGTAAGTATTCATACTGTTATTATTTTGTTGTAGTTTGTTTAGGTTAGCAATAACACATTTATTATCACCGTCATTAATAATAAACAACAAACAAATGGTTAGTAACGTTAATTATTTTTACCTGACATGCTTTCTGTGTTCTGCAATATTTAGTAGTAGCATACAAATGTAGCGTTATGTGTTTTACAGCTGCCAGTAACTTAGGCTTAAGTTACAAGTAGGCTTATTTAAATATAAATGGCTTTGCCATCAAAAGAAGTTACATTTTGAAAAATATTACAATCAGAAATTTCACAATATTACTGTTTTTACTATATTTTTTAATCAAACAAATGCAGCCTTTGTGAGCACAAGAGACTTTTTTCAAAAACATCAAATCTGGGGAGGAGTTCAGAAAAAATTCTGCTGCATTGAAAGTTCACAGACACATGTAGCCTCAGTTATCCTTAATGGGAGAAGTTTGGAAAGGACTTTTCCTAGAGCTGGCCTCCTGGCCAAACTGAGCAATCCATGTAGAAGGGCTTTGGTTAGAGTAGTGACCAAGAAGCAGATGGTGACTCTGGTTGAGCTCCATGATCAAATAAGGAGACTCCACCGATCTGGGCTTTATGGTGGTGTGGCCAGACTCAATTCTGTCCTCAGAGAAAACACATGATAACCCACTTTGAATTTGCAAAAAACAAGGTCTCAGACTGTGAGAAACAAGATTCTCTGGTCTGATAAACCTCAGTTCTGAGCATCATGAGGAAACAAGGCACTGTACCACACCAACAGTAAAGTGTGGGGGTGCTTTTCAGCAGCAGGGACAGGGGGACTAGTCATTGTAGAAGGAAAGCTCAATATGTAAAGGTAGCCTAAATGAAAGCCTAGTCCAGAGCATTCAGAACCTCGGACTGGGCTGAAGGTTCGCCTTCCAACAGGACAAAGCACACAGCTAAGACAATGCAAGAATAGCGTATGTACAACTGTGTGAATGCCCTGGACCAGCCCGAGCCTGGGCTTGAACCCAATCAGACATTTTTGGAGAAACCTGAAAATGTCTATCGGCCCCCATCCAACCTGACAGAGCTGAAGAGGTGAGGAGAAGAATGGCAGATAATTGCCAAATGCAGATGTGCAAAGCTTGTGGTATCATAACCAAAAAGAATTGAGGCTGTGGTGCTTAAACTAAGTACTGCATTAAGGGTATGAATACTTATGCAATGTACTTATTTCAGGTGTTTTTTTTTTTTTAAATAGCGATGTCACAAATCTGTTTTTTGTTTTATCATTATGGGGTGTGGAGTGTAGATTGATGTGGGGAAAAGGTCATTTAAAGCAGTTTAACATAAAGCAACAACATAAAACGTGAAAAAAAATTAATACTTTTGCAATTCACTGTATATTCAATGTAAGGTTTTTTCATGAATGCTTGAAATTAGTTTTGAAGGTACAGTGGTGGCCAAAATTATTAGAACACTAGTATTTTCACCAGCTAAAAATGGTTTTAAGTCAGTTATTTTTTATCTTTTGTTGTAGTGTGTCAGTAGGAAATATCAGTTTACATTTCCAAACATTCATTTAGCCATTAATTGTAATAATCCAGTGAGATTTTTGTTTGCACAAAGAGTCTCCAAGATGCTTCAAGAAACCTACCTGAAAAACGCAAAGGATGGTCACACCAAATGGTGATTTCATTTAGTTATTAGAAGTTAATTGATAAAGAAAATCTATTTATGACATGATTTTTGACGGCAACCTCATTTTACAGCATTTTTACACAAGTGCCTAAAACTTTTAACAGTACTGTAGGTTTCTTGAAGCATCTTGGAGACGTTGCCACAGTTCTTCTGGATTTAGTCTGTCTCAGTTTGTTCTGTTTCTTCATGAAATTTCAGACAGACTGGATGATGATGGCAAAACGAATGTTTGGAAATGTAAACTGATATTTCCTACTGACACACTACAGCAAAAGACAGAAATAACTGACTTAAAACCATTTTTTAGCAGGTGAAAATACTAGTGTTCTAATAATTTGGCCACCACTGTAAATATAAACTGCCATATTAAGTTTTTATAAATGTTGAAACAGATTGAAAACTCCTGTCAGTTTCTTTTTTAAATATATAAAGTTACTTGTCTATATATTGCATTCCTTCTGGAATGAGTGAACAGGATGATCTTGACTCATCTGTCTGGTTACTTACAATTCTGTGCATTACCTCAATTAAATCAATTAAATATTTTAATATATATTAAAGTGAACGTTGAGTTTTTTCATTATGTTGAGTGCTCTGTCTAATGATAGTCAGAATCCTGAAAATTCACCTACACCTTGTCATCTAGGTCCTACATGAATTTTTAAGTAAATGGGAATTTTGACATTGCTTCACCAAATTACTCATGCTATGCGTCAAAGAAGCATTGCATCACTAATTTCCTCCTTAAACAGTCACACACACTAAGTTGTATCATGTAGTGCCTGGCTGTCGGAACAGGCTCTCCAGTCAGCAGCATTATGAGTCGCTATAACCCAAAAGAGCTTGTTCAGAAATCTCAGGAAGCCAAAGAACAGGCGTATTGTCCCTACAGCAAGTTCAGAGTTGGAGCAGCTGTCTTAACAAGCGATGGAACTGTTTTCACAGGTGAGGACACAACAATTTCACCTAGTTAAGTGTTCTTATACATGTGTTTTTATTTGAATCCTACAAATACAGTACATACCATTCAAAAGTTTAGTTCAGTAAGATTTTTTAAATATTTTTGAAAGAATTCTCTTATGCTCGCCAATGCATTTTTGATCAAAATACAGTAAAACTTTAATATTGTGAAATACTGTATTATTACAATTTAAAATAATTTTTGTGATCAAGAAACATCAGTGTTGAAAATAGTTGTGCTGCTTAATATTTTTGTGGAAACTGATACAGTCGTCAGGATTTTTTTTTGATTAATAGAACGTTCAAGAGAACAGCATTAATTTGAAATAGAAAGCTTTTGTAACATTTTAAATGTTTTTACTGTCACTTTTGATCAACTTAATGCATCCTTGCTGAATAAAAGTATTCATTTCTTTAAAGGAAAATCTTACTGACCCCAAACGTTTGAATGGTGTCAAGCACCAAATAATAGGCCTACATATACTAAATAAATCCCAAAAAGAAACCAGACAGGCAATATGAGACATGAGTTTATATAAAAGTCTACAGTACTGTTTTCTTAACAGGTTGTAATGTAGAGAATGCCAGCTATCCTCTTGGACTGTGTGCTGAAAGGACTGCGATCTCTAAAGCTGTCTCTGAGGGATATATCAGCTTCAAAGCCATCGCAATTGCCAGGTATTTAAATATATAGCTATAGTTAGGTCCATATACTGTATATTTGGATGCTGACACAATTTTCATAATTTTGGCTCTGTATGCAAAGAACAAAATGCTTAGTAGGAATTAAAACCATTTTTATACACAGTCCACCCATTTTCAGGGGGCTCAATTGTAATTGGACAAATAAATATAATCATAAATAAAATGTTCATTTTTACTGTCGATTAATATTGCTGTTATGACCTGTCTTTTATGCAGTGACCTTGAGGATCGCTTTATTTCACCATGTGGAGCCTGTAGGCAGTTCATGAGAGAGGTCAGTGCTTCTAAAAATAAAATTATGCAAACAGATAATTATTATTGATTTATTATTACTATTTATGAAGACATACAAACGTGGAGTTAAAATGTGTCCTGTAAAAAGTCGTGAGTCAGCAATGACATACTGCATTTGGAAATGCCTTTATAAATTTAGGTGTGGCTTATAACAAAAACAATTACAAACGAATGTAAGTAGCCTAATGCACTAATCATGTTTCAGCTTCCATTGATACTGTCACTTAACAGACTGGTTATGTCACCTGTCTTACAGTTTGGCTCACAGTGGGACGTTTATATGTCAAAATCTGATGGATCTTACAAACTGATGACAGTGGAGGAGCTCCTGCCGTCTTCATTTGGCCCCGATGACCTGAGAAAAGGAAAAAACCCTGTTGGCAATTCGAAATTGTAATAAAAATAAAGCTATAAGTCGTGTTACAAACCAGATGTGCAGTATAGATTTAAAATGTTTTGAATCGATGTATATCTGTATTATTTCTCAATTAAAAAAATATATTTATATAATATTAATAAATATATTCTGATAAACAGTGAC